GTAATGGTTATTAATACACTCGCATATACCATACAAAACTCGCCTTCGGCTCGTTTAATGCTCGTGTCTTAATAACCATCATTACATGATCGTTGCATAATATACTATTGTCACACAGTTAACGAATAGTGAACACAGTTCTGACCCGAGACCTATGGGAGTGTATACACGCGATTCCTGTAAAAGTCTTAAGGCATGTCTGCACCATCTAACGCAAGGAACTTTGACACAAAGTTAACGAATAGTGAATACAGTTCTGACCCGGAGCCTATATACCTACGTGACTCCTGTAAAAGTGTTATGGCATGTCGGCACGCCCTAACGCAAGGAACTTGGCACGCTGTGAAATCTAAAAACAGTTTTATATGTACTCGGCTTGTTCTATAAAAATCTTCATTCCCTCCTAAGAGGAAATGAAGATTTGTATAGGACAAGTTGAACAGAAATGATATCACACCAAAAACATTTTCACTCTCATAGTGAACTAAGCTCTTCACATTAAGTAATGTAGACACGCCTGAACTCTATAAACCCTACTTTACAGTTGAAATATGTGGCTTGACCCTTCACAGTTCTGACTGTATGTGTAGGACAAGTTGAACCGAAATGATATCACACCAAAAACATTTTCACTTTCATAGTGAGCCAAACTCTTTACATGAAGGCATGAAGACACGCTTCAACTTTGTAAACCCTACTTTACAGTTGAAATATGTGGCTTGGTCCTTGCTTTACTCCAAAAACTATTGACATAAAGTTAATGAATAGTGAATACAGTTCTTAACCGAAGCCTATGGGAGTGTCTAAACGTGAAAGTGTTAAGGCGTTTCTGCACGACCTAACGCAAGGAACTTTGCACACTATGAAATCTGATAACATTTTTTATATGTACTCGGCTTGGATTGCGTTCATAGCGCGCCCTTTCGTACCTATGTACCTAACTAACAAATGAAAAGTGTTAGTTGAAAGTTTTATAAAATTGACGTTAGCAATTATATGGATACACATATCTGTTTCGACTGCACGGATCATTATAAATATCATATTTTTATTTATTCATACTGGAAAATGTGTTAGAAAATATTTTAAAGCAGTGAAATGGCATATTTGTGTTGTATTCAGTATGTAATAAATTATAACTGTCAGATAATTACTTTACACTGAAAGCCAGCAGGTAAAAAGAGTTTAATAATGCAATCTTGGTAATACCTACTTTACAGAAAGCCGTTCTTGGTAGAAATCCTTTTCGTAGAATCAATTATAGTCAAAATGAAACAATTTATAGGATTTTGAAATCTACAGCCTAGAATGCTTGATTTATTGAATAAAGGTTATGACACATCCGCCCTAAAGACACCATCTATAGAATCGACAAGAAAATCAATAAGCAAATATCAAAGATGAACGAAGCTCCCCAAGCCGGTCAGTTGTAAAGCCAACATCGACCGCCGAACGAGATTCGTCATTTGTCTTTCACTGCAATTTTCACTGTCATGCAACTAACTAGATGAACTTGTGATCTAACACCAGACAGCGCTGTTTCGACCCATCAAGGTCTTATCAGTACTTCAGCCTATCACCGATGATGGGATCTTGGCGGGTCGAAACAGCGCTGTCTGGTGTTGAATCTATCTTTATCATTTTTCAAATGATCTGGAAATTATGATGTGAGTAAACATATGTAAACTTAATTATAAAGTGACTTGATCGTTAAAATAAGTAAATAAAATCGGCCGCGGAAGTCTTAACCAATTTGTCAGTATTGATAAACAATATTTATCATACTTATTATCACTAGAAAAAAGTGAAGACACGAAAAACGAAGTTACGAACGAAACATTTTTTTTTACATAACAATAGAATTATAGTTCAATATTTAGTTGACTTAAACAATAAATCCTTTGCTCAGTTTATTGTTTACTCTACCTCCCCGAGCTTATGTGATATCATATTCATTACCGTAACTTTTGACTTATGTCTCAAAACATATTTTGTGTTGATGATATCTGACGAAATTATATTTTATAATAATATTCATCAATTTCGACAAACAGTTGATAACATTTCATAGTCCAGGAAGCATTTCATTTGAAAACGAACGAAACGCAAGCGGGATAGAGTCCATATTTTTTCCTGATAAAACAGGAACATCAATTGATCAGGTCAGTTTGGCCTGCCCCTTCACAAGATATTCGAATCCATAGAAAAGTATCAAATACCTATAAAACATTTTTTATGCTAGAATGAAATTTTGGAATCTCGCTAATTTCAAAAGCGATGAATTTATTGTTCTTGATGAAACGATGGTGATCATCATATTATTATGGATTGTTACTTGAATAATTATAAATAGATATCTATCTTTACGCTGTAATTGAATATGTGCTTTAAAAAAAATAATTGTTTCCTTAGTTTGCATCCTTTCTACATAAAATGAACTGTTGAGCAATTCACATCAAGTTATAATTTGGTCAAAGGTCGTATGGAATAAATTGATGGATGTAGCCGTTACTACAGGGTAGGAGATCATAATGAAGAAAAGAGAATTGAATCTTGATATGTTTTTTGCCAGTTCTATTTGTAACCTTCTATAAGGAGTAACGTTAGTTACAAATAAAAGTGGTAAAAAACATAGAAAGTTTCAATTCTCTTTTCTTAATTATCGTCGTATGGAATAATTATATAGGTGATCATTGCATCTCTCTCTCTCACTCTTTTACTTTTGATGGTCGTTACTTTTCATTCGGGCGTATTTTTCCATGATCCTTCTGTCAATAATTGACGAGAGCTTCGTCGGGAGCGCTACGATCTTGCTACAAGCAATACTGCTACCGTTTTTCAATCATTTTTTCTTTAAAAAAAACGAATAACTTTTTACTAGTCGCTTCCTCCTAGATAGATCTTCGGATTTTTAAATTCACATATGTGGTCCCCTTTACGAGGTTATCCGAACCACCCCGGCATGAATACAATACCGGCGTGAATAAAGGGAGCCCTCACTTCACATTTTGATAGAATTTTCACATCTACATCATGTTTGACTTCACACAATGGAGAGTCAAAACACACATAGAAGCCATGTGACATCTTTGTGGACTAACGTCATCGGCACTTTCGTCCACTACCACGACCACCAGTCCGTCATCGAAAAAAAGGGCAACTTGAAATAATACTTATTCATGAACTGAATTTTATGAAGTTTATTTCAAAGCACTGAAAAATTATAAAACAGAGAAGACATTAAAAATCCATAAAATCTTACCTGTTCAATAAAATTTATGAAAAAAAATTTTGTGAAAAGCATCAAAAAGTGATAGTGTGCTCTGCGCTTTTGTGCAATCATTAATTGATAATGGAATCTTCCAATAAGGAAGTGATCCAAAAAAATGAAGCATTAAAATTCGAAAGTCACCCCAGCGATGATCTTCATGAATCATCAGGTTTATTAAATATTAGACAACTAAATTATCTAAATGTTGTACCATTTTGTAACAAAAATTCAAAAAGGTTGAAATCAAAAGAATTTAATCGGGAAATAAGAGCAACTGTCGATATTGTAGGTGTCCGTATTATGAAAAAAACCCTTGGTACAAGAAGTTTTGTATGTGTAGGCCCAAAACTTTTATCGAGATACCAAAAGGAATAAAAAAATAAAAGTTCATAACTTGCTCAAAAAATAAAATTAGGATTGATAAGTTTACCCAGACATTATGTACACAGTAGAATAGATTTGAATTATAACCTTATACGGAAGAACTGTAAACATGAAGAAAACTGTAATATACTTATCAGATTTCAATCGATTTATTTTATTGTTTCACGTGCTAAGACTCGCACGTTTAAATGTAGTACCTCGTTAGTCCTCAGCTTGCACAAGTTTCGACTTCTGACGTTTGTGGATCTTAGGGAAGCGACAGTTGGTTAATGGAAAAACAGATATTTCTTAACGATTTCAATTTGTCGTACATGATCTTATGTTTATTTTCAGTTTGTTTGATTAAGGAATAAATATATTATTATTATTATTCATTGTAGTATTAGGTTGTTCCAAAAGTTTTGTCCGTTTTTATGAGTCCATTTCTAACTGTAATATCTCAGTGAATACTTATTCAATTTAATCGAAATAATCGCCATTTGAATCAGTACACATTTGCAAACGTAACACAAATCGATAAACTCAATCAGCCGAAAAAATGCGTGCTCGGGATTCGATGAAGTCGACGAAGGCCCTTATTGCCTGGTTCTGATTGGCGAAGGTTCTACCAGTGAGAAATTTGTCGAAGTGCTCCAATAGTAGTCGGTTGGCAAGAGGGCCGGGGAGTATTGCGGGCGAGTCAGAAAGAAATGAAATATAAACGTTCAAGCCAGTCTCGAATATACCTACACAGTAGGTTGAATGGATTGNATAGACCCATGGCGACGGCCCTGGATGGGTCACTTGTCTATCGAACCTGAGGTCCATCCACAGCCTCAGGTTTTTTCATTTCTTAACAATAAGCAACTCCGTACCGAAAAGTTGTATATTGGATTGGGAATTCACTGGCTATTTCCGACATACAATCCACATTGCAATAATATCGTTAGAAATGAGTAAGTTTGAACTAGGAGTTCAATGTGGTAGCATCGTCCATAGATATTCTAATTCTATTAGAATATCTATGGACGATGGTGGTAGTGATCTTTTAAGTTATAATTGCAGAACACTATGAAATATTTTATCCATTGGACAGTTTATGCTTTCAGAATAATGAGTGGAAAGCATTTCGAATCAGTATGAAAACAAAAAGTGTCTAATGAATAAAATATCTCCTGGTGTCCTGCAACTACTAACGTAGATCTCCTTGAAATTTCGTCTAGCAGGATATTTCAAATGTACTCATTCTTCTCAACAACTGTCATGACTGGACTTTATTCATACAACATGGTTTGTTATAAAACACTTCTATGAACCGCCAGACCTATATTATCTCACACAACAGTTTGGAAGCTTTATGAAAGTACTGATAGTAGTTGATAACTGCTGGTAGAGAATCTGAATCTGATGATTCAATCCATTAATGTTACTGGATCATAATGGGTTCAAGTGAAATTACAAAGAAAACAAAGTTTTTAGCCAATTTCAAAGGGACTTTTCCACAAGTTTTTGCCGCAATATCAGGTGAGAATGTAAATAAAGTTCAAAATAAAACTGATTATTTAAAAAATACGTTGTTTGTTTTCTAGAACAACAGTAAATTGTTATGGAGATCATCCATGATAATAATTATCAATTTTTTATACTATAATGGAAATTTTGAGACAATATACCTGTAATTTCACATTGAAATTTGAAAAAATATATAGGACAATGCCGGAATGAAAATATATGTTTCTTTGATAAAAAATACTCGTTATACAACTCCAAGCCAAAGAAATGTTGAAAAACAAACTCATAAATAGACTACCTTGGTTTGAAACAATATTTACCTTCGGGTAGATAACGAAATTTTACCCTGTTTTCCACTAACACATTTATACTCTTCTGAATATTTTAAGTAGTTGCCTAAGCCATTGTAAATATCTTTTTGTGATCGTCGCTTTAATCATTGCAATTCATCTCATTATTTTTTTCATTATTGAAAACATAACTTAAATAAAAAAAAATATAAAACATTTTTTCAATAAGAAATTGTTTTTGACCGATTCTAGGTATTTCTTTCAGTTCTTAATCAGTTTTCTAAGAATCCATTGAATATTGACTTATATTATTGGAGATTTTTGGCAACCAAATATGGAAGGTTATTAAATTTTTGAGTGAAATAAATAAAATATTCAATTTCTACTGATGTCAACCCTTTTACTTTGCCCTTTGGATAAATTACGACAGTATAAAAATCGCTATCCACATTAGTTCTCTTCAGAATATTTTTAGCAGCAATCCACCTTCTTACTTAAAGTTTCCAATCGTTGAAAGGACATTTGTGAAAATACTTTTCATGAAACATTCTCTCAATCAGTAAGTTTTTTTGACTGAATTCTGCTATTTTTTTTATTTCCAAGAATCCAATGAATATAGACCTAAATTGCTATAATTATCATTACTTTCTGAGTGATTCAAATAAAAATTCACAACAAGATTTACTTCGATGAAAATTCTGCTGAAATCAACCCTTTTATCTTATTACTCTTTGTTTCTGAGGGCCGTAGATATTCTTTCAAAAAATTTAGTTTCAATATAAGATATTTTTTATTCATTATATTCGAAATTCCATACAAATTATTCGAAAATAAATATTTATAATAGTCATTTGAGGATAGTTATACCTAACCCTTTTATCTAAAGATATTTTTTACACACTTCTCTATTCCGGGCGTGAACCGATTCAGGCTCGCCCCCATAACTTGGTATCAATCAAAAATATTTTTGTAGCATTTTCAGTTTCACAGGAAATTATCCTCCCTTTGGAATTTCAAACGAAACATCCTGTATGTTTTACAATTTCATGACAACTTCATTTTCAATGGCACCGTGATGGCTCATTATATTTTTCGGAATGATTTCTGTTTTACCAGAATTTTGATGTCATCTACACCTAAATTTGTGCAAAATCTTGAAAATCGTTATTTCAGACATAATAACAACATATATAGGGATATAATTATATATCTACATAACATAACATTAAAATATGACATCGTTATACCTTGTTGTTTCAATCACATCCAGAACATGAAATGAAATGAAATGAAATGAAAGCTGCACTCTTGACTGAAATCACAATTTTTATTTTGCATCATAAGGAGGTCTTCATTAAATGAAAGTTTTGGTAACCCAGAAATCTTTTTGAATAATATAACGATCCATTAACATAAAATTGAAATATCTGTCAAAAGTGTACAGTTGGGAGAGCGGAAGTACTGGCTGTCTTTTCACATTAGATCATGGGAGCAGAGCAAATGCTTTAGTGGTCGCAGCCTTCACAAAACATGTTGAAATTGAAAATGCTATAAGATATTTTTGATCCAATCGATCCGAATTGTGGTACCATTTGAACCACCAAAATTCCACATTGATATCAGGAGAGAGAGAAAAGTTATTCGTCCGCGAGTCGGGTTACAACCCGTAGGTAGATGAGAGTTAGATATTCAATTGTTCAGAAGATGAGCTTTTATTCAGAAAATGACAATTTTATAACTATCCCTGATAATAATTATCTGATGAAACTACCGTGTAGCAAAAGGCGTCTTTTATTGCGAAAATTCTATAATTATTATCATAGATGGTTTTGTTAATTTTTATCGAATAATGGGTCAGATTATTAATAACAATTTTATAAATTTATTTAATCGATTTTAACGATAATTAAGTTCATTTCATTTGATTTTTGGTACTTCAAGAAAAATATTCGAATTATAGTATAAATAGCTTAGATGAGAGAATGTTAAGAGTTTTAGTGCTAGAAAGAAGTGTTTCTGTTGTATTAATTTTATGTTATTCGGTAGTTTTAAAGATATCTGAAAAACACTAATATTCGAAGTTTTGATTTCAAATGTCCCAAAAAAGATTAGAAAACTGATTTTATTTTTCTCTGCGTTAATTAATCATAGTTCAAAAACGAAGTCATACGAAAGTCAATTTCTATTTCATTCTAGGAACTCTATTCGCTATTTCTGATGGAATGACATATGGATGGACAGCTCCTTTCATTCCATACCTGATAAGCGAGGACAGCCATTTAAAAACAACAAAATATGAAGCGGAATTCTTGGAAACCGCGCTTTTGGTAGGATCATTTTGTGGTTTGCCTGTAACAATTTACCTCGTAGACAAAATCGGTAGAAAAATGTCTCTTCTGCTGGCTTCTTTCGTGGTCTTCATAGCATGGATTGTAATAGCTCTTGGAAACAGAATAGAATACATTTTCGTAGCAAGATTTGCATGTGGAATGTCAGGAAATATGGCATTCGTAGCTGCTCCAATGTTTTTGGCTGAGATAGCGGATCAGAAAATCAGAGGTTTCTTATCAAGTATAATTTATGTAATGATGCTTCTTGGATGTGTGATAGTATACTGTGTTGGTCCCTATTTACCATTTTACGTACCGTCTATTATTGGGGCAGGAGTCGCCATTGTAGAGCTCTTAACATTTTCCAGAGTACCAGAATCTCCTCTCTATCTTTTGTACAAGGGCAAACCTGAAAAATCTATGGAATCGCTCAAATACTATAAACCTTATATTGATGTTGCTAAAGAAATGAGCGAGATGGTTGATATATTAGAGAAGCAACAGCAACATAAAGGAAAATGGACAGATTTGATAACTGTCGGCAGTAACAGAAAGGCAATTTTGATAATGACAGTTTTGAATGCTGGTCAACATTTGTGCGCCTATTCAGTGATTTTAATGAATTTGCATCTGATTTTAAAATCAGCAGGATCAGTATATATGGACTCGTCTATTGCAGCAATTTTGTTTTCAGTTCTGATGCTGGCTGCTGCTACTTTTGCTTCTTTGCAAATTGATAAATATGGCAGAAAAGTTCTACTAATATTCTCCAGCTTCATAACTGGTATATGCTTATTAGCAATTGCTGTCTACTTTCACTTCAAAGAAACGGGATACGATGTTATGACCGTCAGTTGGATACCAATTGTTTCTGTCATGATATATGCAGCTGCTTTTAAAATTGGAGTTGGCCTGGTTCCCATCGTTGTTACTGCAGAAATTTTTCCTACGGATTTGAAAGCTTTTGGAATGACTATGTCAGATGCTATGTTTATTGTAGGAGGAATCATCGCTTTACAACTTTACCAGTGGATGACATACGTATACGGATTGTATCCACCTTTTTATGTGTTTGCAGTATGTTCCTTTTTCATTACTGTATTCACAATATGTTTCGTACCAGAAACAAAGGGAAAGACTCTTGATGAAATACAAAGTATTCTGAAAGGAGATAAAAGTTGTAAAATACCTAAAATAGCCGAAGAGAAAGTGTGTGCTTCCTGAAGTTGAAGTGATGTGATATAAATGACAGACTCTTCGAATGTTTTTTTTAATGTATAGATAAAATTCAGAAAACAGGATGACGTAGAAAACTCAAAATTTATTACAATTTTTTAATGTCTGTATGGAATCATAATTACTCAGTAGCAGCATCTGAAATTTTGTAATAATTTCTACGAAGCTAATATTTGTTTCATTTGTATCTGTCGATTTGACCCTAGAAATCAGAAAAGTTGTTTTCTATCGTACTGTCAGCGTTGCGTTCGTTATTAACATTTTTTTTTTTTTAAAGAATATTACTGGAGTTTTATCGTAACACCAAACAGTTATTTCAACACCTCGACACGTGTTTCGATCACATCACAATTTTTTTTGCAATCAAATACTATTTTGATTTTTTTATAAAAGTGAGGGATACGTCATATGTCAAAGAAAATGTTGAAATCTAGTGACTGCCTTACACACAACTAACTTTTTCCACTTATTCTTAAAATACTACTTTTTTAAATATTGTTGAAATTTTGGTAGAAGCTTTGAAATATACATTCTTCTGAGTATAATATATGCGGGGCTATGCAACGCTCAAGTTTCAAATATTTTTCATTGATAAAATTCATGTCGCACGCATTTTTATAAATTGAAGTTCTAGCATATTTGCATAATTGAAATAAATAGTAGCCTCAATATATGTTCATGTGTTTTTGGGAAAGAAAGTTTTTGGCTTTCTACTACTCCATCTTGATGCAAAAAAAGGATGAGGGAATCTTCCGAAGAAAGGAAGGAAGTAAGCAATTTGAAAATGAGTAACTCTATACATGGATGTAGATCATACCAAGAAGTAACTTTCAGATACAAACTGAAAGAAAGTCCTCCTGAAACAGCTACTTTCATATAAACATTGAATTACACGAAAGAAAAAATTATTTTGAAACAAATACTTCTATCATTTTCAAATTGATTACTTCCTTCCTTTCTTTGGAAGATTCCCTCATCCTTTTTTTGAATCAAGATGGAGTAGTAGAAAACCAAAAACTTTCTTTTCCAAAAATCAATCTCTCCTAAAAATATAACCCATTCATTTCAAATAAGATTCCTCTTGGCTGGGATTAAATCATATAGGTGAATGAATGTCATTACGATGTCATCGATGACATAAGCAGATCAAGATTATTCCGTGACATTCAAAATCGTAATTCATGAATGAATTGTGTGTATTTTCTATAATGTTATCCAATTTGATACTGAAGAGCCTTAGGGAAGTGTCTTAAGGCGAAACATCGATGTATACCAGTGAGGATGACAGTGTTCTGTGTAAGTGCAATTTGTTACCATTCATTTAAAGTAGAAGTCATGTGAATGATATCTGATTTTTATTCCACAACGAATGTTTAAAATATAAACTGAATAGAGAAAAGTATCTTCTGTATAATTCAGTGTTCATATGGAAGTATTTGTTTCGAAAGAATTTTTTCTTTCGTGTAATTCAATGTTTATATGAAAGTAGCTGTTTCAGGAGGACTTTCTTTCAGTTTGTATCTGAAAGTTACTTCTTTGCATGATCTACACATCCATGTATAAAGTTACTTATTTTCAAATTGATTACTTTCTTTCTTTGGAAGAAGATTTTTTGTATCAAGATGGAGTAGTAGAAAGCCAAAAACTTTCTTTCCCAAAAATTAATCACTCCTAAAATTATAACCCCTTCAATTCATGTTCAAGTGTATTTTGTATGACCTATATGGATACATTCCTTTATTGTAATTCATTATAACTTATTTCTCATTGCATCAGCATTTCATTCATCTTATGAAGACGCCAACTTGGTTGCTTGATTTGGATTTATTCTACATCGAAGGTTCCTGTTATATTTTTTGTTCAAAAAAAAATTTAATTGACACTCATCTCAACGTTTTGGGCTCCAAAATCTGTCTCCTTCTTTAGAATTGAAAAAAATTAAATATATTTCGCAATTTTCTCGTTTTCTTCTAAGTAAGTATTGATGAAATTCTCAGCTTTTTTTAATAGGGAAAATTTTCTGTGATGAAACTGGCTACTTGATGAAAATTCATAACGTTTTCATTGGGGATTTTAACTGAATTCACAGAGTAACTTTAAGGGGATGACTAGAAGTTTGCCTTTCTGCACCTGTATGAAGATTATAAAAGAGGAAATGAAAATATTGATATCCTCCACAAAAAAGATTTCTGTTGAATATTGGCTATTTATACTTTTTATCTCTGGGAAATGAACTAGAAATGACGAATAGAATATGTGCTTGATTGATTCCTTTAATACAATACCAGAGTATACAAATTAGCAATACAAAACAGATCTTTGTGATTCCTCAAGAGCTTTTTTGAAAAACTGATCTTTAGGTATTACATTCCTTACGTAGTCTTCAATACATGCAATACCATGAATATTTTGGATATCATACTTTCCTATATCCGTCACAATTGTCACTCCCTTTTCTTTGAAATACTGGATCACATTAGTAAGAAATATACAAGAAAATATATTGTCATTGATGTGTAGAAACCTTATAGTAGGTGCACTTGACATAAGCATGTGAGAGTCCAAATAGTAAATGGAATTTCCACTTAAGTCTAAAGCATTCAAATGCTGCATAGGTAATAATTCCGTTCCTTCAAACACTTGAATAGAGTTATTCGCCAAAATACACTTTTGTAGATACCTCAAACCAGAAAAAGTGCCCATCGAAAATTTGGTGAGTTTATTGTTGGCTAGATTGAGAAACTGGAGTGTTGTGAGCTCTCTGAAAATACCGATTGGTAAATAGCATAACTTGTTATTTTGCAACTCCAAAATCTCTATGGTATCCAATCCTGTGAAACTATTGTAGTCTATATGGTGAATATGATTACTTTCAAGATTTAGGTTTAATAGAGTCAAGACTCCTTGAAACGCATCAGCTGGTAGTTTTTTAATTTTGTTATTGGACATTGAGAGCGTATTCACTTCTAATCCATTCAAAAATCCAGGTATCAAATCCACGATGAGGTTGTTATCCAGATTAACCTGATAGAGTTGTCGTAGACCGTTGAATGCGTTCACAGAAATATTTTTAATAATATTGTTATCTAAATATAGATATTGAATATTTCCGAAGAATGAAAACGCCTCAGGAGCTAAAACTTCTATTTCGCTATTCGACATATTTAGAGATATCAGGCTATTTTCATATGGAAATGTGGTTGCAGAAAATGTGTTGACTTGACATTGTCTACATTGTAGGTTTGAAGTTCCAAAGTATACTCTAGATTTTGGGAACTGTTCTTTGATATTTTTGCATATATAAGACTTTTCATCACTGAGAAATTCGCAAGATGGTTTTAGCACTGAAGCAGTAGATATGAAGAAGAACGAGAATAACAGGAGCAGGTTGAGTTTCATATCTGAAAAAAAATATTATTGTGAATTAGATAATTTAGAAATCCATATTTTTACTTTTCGAAGGAGCCACGACACTTTGTAAGAGAATATATCATTATCAGTTTATTAACGGGGATATTGTGAATGATAAGTCATCGTATATTCATTAAACTGTGGCTAATTTGAATACTCCAGAGAAATATTGAAAAAAATTAATTTCAAAATTCTATATTTGACTCAACCTTCTTTGTTCGCGGCAATATTGAGAATCAGTTTATATTTTTCCGAAGGAATTTTCAATGTACTATCTTATGTAGGTCGTAATAGTAATCAATTAAAAGTGTGCCATTTTATTTAAAAGAAAAAATATTAGGAAGAAATTGTAAAAAACTTGGAAACAATTATTTTTCAGCTGAGGAACAGAAAATAGCTCCCAATCGAAAATTATGAAATTATTTGCTGAAGGAATTACAACTATAAATCGACAAATTCAGTTACAACGGTGAATTCACACTTATAACTGAGAATTTTCATTGACGTCTAAACATCTCAAATTTCTCGACTGTACCTTTTGCACATGGCATAATAAATATCAACACTATATATTTATTGCAAATTCATTTGCCTAAAAATATTGGGCTTATGATTGTTGATGAAACGAAAAGTAATCTGTAACCTACCCTAATCAAAGCATATTCAATCATTTATTATTACAACTCTTTATATTGCCATTTATTATTATTACTATGTATTGTGCCCTGTGGAAAGCGTCCATGCGAAGAAATTGCTGACTACAGACCCTACTTCTAATTCATAGTTATAATTGTGAATTTGATAATTTAAGAGGACAAATTCACAAATTCAGTTATGAGTGTGAATTTTGCAATAACTGGAAATTCACACTTATAACTGTAAATTCACAGTTATAATAATACTATCGATTTTTGTGGCCCCTCTACAAAACATTGAATTTTGAACTGAGGTTGTAGTGAATCAAATAACAGCTTGGTTTTTCATTTCAGAAATTTCATTTCAGAAATTTAGACATTTTGGAAAATTATCTCTAACCACTAAAATTAGAAAACACTAGTTCTCATATTCTCAATCTTCACTTCTGGTAAGATTTTCCCATCACTATATAGATATTCAGTCAGTATTTTATGGAGTATATAAAAGTGTTAGGCAAACATCTGACTGTAGTCAAATAAGTCTTTGCTGCAGTAATTTTTGGAAACTAGATAGAAATGAACAAGTCAGACGGCTCTCAAGCATGAAAAAAATTGGCATCCGATCTGGTACACAAAATAATCACAACTGCATGAAATAGAATAACTTCGAAAAACAAATATGTTTAAAGATACAGTTTTGCAAAATTATATGAAACTGTGTTTAAGAATGACTAAAACATGAGTGTTACGGGTACAAAATTCATTCACTAGAGTAAAACTTTTCAGTCTGTTAAACAAATCATTCAGGTTTATTCGTTAATACAATTTTATGAGTTTTTGTCGATAGATGCAGGTACACATTTTTTAAACTGAGCCAGCCGGATGTTCTCATCTATGCACTGATAGAACCTCATAAAATAACCTCAGATATGAATTTTGTGTTTTTTGCAATAGATATGAGTTACTTAGTAACAGCGCTGTGCCGTATAAACACTGTAACAGTAGTAGAGGGAAAATTGGCTTGACATCATTGTAAATCACTCAGATGTCAGAGCCAAACCATAGACCCAAAATTTTACTATCACTAAGCATCGGTTTGGGAAATGTTTTAAATTTATTTTCAATTCACCTTTAAAAACATCGGTTACATTCTTCAAAACAATAACTAACCATACTTTTAATATTTTCTGTATCATTAACAATGCTTGATACTTACTAACTCTTTAGCGTTCCTACAGAAGTTTCAAAATAGAGGATTGGAACATTCTTTTGAGGTGTAATATATATATATACCGCTATTTTAGCAATGCTTTCGAGTGGAGTGGTTATCAGTAGAAGACGGGTGGGTTTATTTTTCAATAATATTCATATTCAAAACATAAAAGATCAACTTCCCCATACTTTGTTCTATTCCAGCATGATGTTCATAGCTACCACAGAAGAAACAAAATATGCATACCCCGTATTCAACAACAATGCATTCTCTATTCCCCAAGAGTTTTTATAATATAATAAACTTCTAGCCCAAATGAAACAATGTAATAGCTTTCCTTAGTTCGAACATACGATAATAAACTTCTTTAAAAATTAAGTAGAATGTTTGATCATACTTTAGTGCAGAAATAATTAAGTTACAGTTTTAAGGTTTATATTTACAGTCAAACAAATTATTAATGTGCAATTCGCTGTATATCAATTAACAACTATCAAGACCATTGTTCAACAAAATTGCCAACTGGTCAAAATTCAAAACTGGAAGTTTGCCTCGAGTGATTGTTTCGACTTTTATGCCATTCTTTCTCAAAGGATGTATTAGGTTGTATCAAAAGTTTTATTTGTTCGGATTACATGTGTTTTTGTAACTTCATATCTGAATAAATATTTATTCTACTGTGTCGTAGTATATACTGATTGATAGAGGATTTGGCACTCTATACATTTGGCCAATTTTGCTCAACAAATTTAAATTGAACCAAAGCGCTGCAGAAACACACTAAAAAAATGAATCAGGCATTTAGCAATGAGAGTGTTTATGAATGCATTGTTTGTCGTTGTTTTGCGAAATTTTGTTGCGTGGGATGGCAGATGAACTGGGCGTCAGCTCCCATGCGGTTTTTGATGGTTTAAAATGCATTGGAAAGGTCAAAAAGCTCGAAAAATTGGTGCCCCCCGATTTAAACAACCGACAGAAACTGTCACGTTTCGTGGTCTGTTCTTTTTTTGCTTTTGCGCAACCAAAAAACCCTTTTTTTGCATCGGATCGTCACGTGTGATGAAAAGTGAACCCTCTACGATAACAAGAGACGTTCAGGGCAGTGGCTGGAAAACAATGAGCCACCCAGGCACTCCTTAAAGGCAAAAACTCACCAAAAAAGACCATAGTTTGTTGTATGGTGGTCAACATCTGATTCACTATAACTTTCTGCAACCGGGCCAAACCATCTTATTGTGAGAGAATCGACAAAATGTACCGAAAATTGCATCAGCAGCAGCAGCAGGCACTGGTCAACAGAAGAGGTCTGATCCTGCTCCACGACAACGCCCGTCCGCACGTTTTATAAATCACCTGCTCCACGACAACGCCCGTCCAAAAATTGAACAATTTGAGCGTCGAAGTTCTGCCTCACCCACCATACTCCCCAGACCTCTCGCCAACTGACTATCATCTTTTCAAGCACTTTGATAACTTTCTCACCGGTAAAACCTTCACCAATCGAGACCAAACAAAAACCGCCTTCGTCGACTTCATCGGATCCTGATCAAAAAAATTTTATGCTGATGGAGTTGTTCGTTGACAAAAGTGCACTGATTCAAATATTGCTTATTTCGATCAAATTGGTTAGTAGGAATACAATTTAAAGTAGACTCATGAAAAAGGACAAAACTTTTGACACACCTAATAAAACATTCGACACTTACCGTTTCCTGCTGTCAGTTGATATAAATAGCAAAAAATACAACACTTCCAGTTCACTCGAACTACTAACTATTATTCTTTTGTTCCATTTTTATGTCAGGTTACAATGTATAATTTGAATAAAATCAAAACAAAACGTGGAAATTATTGATGTATTCAGTTTTGATGAATTGTGATAAGTATTTCAAATAACTTGATTTTGGAAAGTACATTGAACTATTACAATATCAGTCGCAAAATTCATTATAGTCAATTCCAGTATCTTTCCAGATCCAGTATCTTTCAGATATTTTTGCTTCTCTAACTAGTCAGGACCAAACATCTCAATTTTTGAGAACAAATGACTGTATTCATTTCAGTAAGCCTTATTTGATGATTACTGACAATTTTTTTGACTCCTAGCTTCAGAGTTGATAGTAATATTGAGATATATGATTGATAAGATATTCAATATTTGAAAGAACAATTTTAAAAATTCCAGTATCAGAGAACAAATGTAGTTCATTTTGCTAATCGAAAGTTGTTTCGGATATTTTTTTTCTGGTTTTACAGACATTATGTATGATAAATACTTATTTGAAAAGGTTGTTCAATTGATGTTTTTGAATTTGGATTTTCTGTTTGAATATTCTCCATTCTTTATACCGAGTGTCACAACAGTGCAATTTGCTCGATATATCGATAATGCTGATGAATGTATACATGTATAGAAAAGGCAAACCTTTTAGTTCACTGCGTAAACTAAAAATTTTTTTCACAGAGAAAAATATACTATTTATTAGTATCTATCCTTTGACATCTGTCGAGGGAGTTTAAAAATGAAACGAATAAACACACTGCAAGATATATTTGATTTTTTCAATTCTGAAGATGGATGCAGATTTTAGCCTCCGGAACGTTGAAATGAGTATTTATACAATTACTGATGAATAGTTTATTTTTCTTTGTGAGAAATGCTCTGAATTTATTCAGTGAACTGAAAAGTTTGCCATTTCTACACCTGCATATAATTTTCTATTACAATTTTTATCTTTTTCAGATTATGAAAAACTCCCTTAAATGTAGATGGGAAACTCTGATTTCCTCCACACAAACTTACTTTCATTCAATAGCAAAAAATATTTTTCAAAGAAATATCTATTTAATTTTTTTACCATTGAAATGGTTCATTTTTTTCCTACACAATCCTATATAATTTTTTTCAAGCTACAATGCGCTAGTGCCAAATCATTAAGTTTTTCGAAAAAAAATAGTGAATGGTACAAGTTCTGAATGAATTACGTAACTGTAATTAGGTTGGATGAATATAAAATGATTTATGAATTGAATAACGTGATTTACAAACTGACAATAGTAGAATAGATTAGGATAAGTTCAAGTTTTGTAACTTTCATAGAAACGAAGTTTTTGGCAAACAAACTGGGTTTTTTCTTTTGCGATGGGGCATTGTGATTTTCCATATTCGGAAAAGTATTCATACTCAACTCAATCAGAATATGTATAAAATGCGAATGTTTGACATAGGAAAAACTCAGTCATATTGAAAAAATTAATATGAAATGTATTTTGTTTTCGCCTTAAATGACTGACTCAGAATAAATTAATTTGTGTGCATGAAAATTGCTTGTAAATATTTCCATCTCAACTCTGCATTTTATGCATTCTGTTACTCTAACTTTTCGAACCTACATCCAGATCTCATCAGTGGTGCTAGGCTGAACCACTTAACTGTTCTGAAGCGGTCACGCCTAAAAGAAAAGTTCTCCCAAGTAGGTCAATTACAAACTCGAACTTCTATATCGACCGCCGAATGAGCTTTCACTGCAAGGCTTGTTATCTAACACCAGACAACTGTCCTTAAAAGGATTTGCCTGAAAGTATAGATAATGACATCTCGATCTACTAACTTATAGGCTTTTATTAGAAGAGTTGAGTGGTTCAGCTCAGTACCACTGATGAGACCTTGGTAGATTGAAATAGCACCGTCTGGTGTTGGATCACAAGCACATCTCTAATTGCCTCGCAGTGAAAGCTGCAGTGGAAGACAGAAGACGAATCTCGCTCGGCAGTTAATGTCGAAGATTGACTTTACAATTGACCGTCGTGGGGAGCCTCGTTCATCTTCGATATTCGAGGATTGAGTCTTCTGTTGATTCCGTCTTCGTACCTTTTCTCATCTATACCAAAACAGAAGAACACTTCGTTTATGTGATGGGTCTAGAGGATTGAAATGGCAGGAGGGAATTAACAAAATAGTGAATTCACTTTAATTGCATGACTATTTAAATTTTAATAAAATAGGGCAATATATCTATTGGAGCTGCATACTCAAAGGATATTGGTCCCTGGTACTCCGTATTATTATTTCCATCTCTCCAGCTACCCTTTGGTAAATATACTCTTCTTGATGTTGCTCCCTGCACAATTACTGGTGCAACTAGAATTTGTTCACCAACTAGGTATTCTGAAAAAGAGAGGTACATTCAAGGGGAGTACTTTATACGAGTCGACAAATTGAACTAAGCTTGTCAAATGCCAATCTCATCTTCTTCCTTTGTATTCTGAGAAAACGGCCATTTAAGAAGCATTGTGAGTTTTAGGTTGGTATTTCTATTTGATGTTTCTTCGTGAGTTCAAAGATTGAATTTTGAATTTAGATATTAGCATAATTACCAGGTTTAGAATTTAAATTGCGTGTTAGTGGAGAAGACACACTTTTTCGAAGTTCTACTCCTTTTTTATATGTAAGAAATGACAAACTTACAAAATAACTGTCAAGTGAAAATCTCAGTGTGAAGATTCATTTAAATACATTATAAAGGATTTTCATCAAGTATCGACCAAATTCATTTATTAGGGAGATGATTATTAACAAATACTAATAAGAATTTGTCGATAAATTGTGCTGATAAATCACAGTGCCAATCAATCACAGATATTTCTTCCATATAAAAACAACACACGTAGAAGAGAAGTCATTTCTGGCAAATATCATTTTAGGTGTCTCAAATTGAAAAGTACCCAACAGGTAAATATTTCATTCAATGGAAATAAAACGTAATAATTTTCAATTACAGCAAATGTATTATCTTCAGTCTAAATCAAGCATCTCATCGACCAGAAATGAAATACTCTACTCGAAACTCATTTCACCAACCAAGTTGGCGTATTCATGAGATGAGGAAAACTAATTTCTAACTCTAAAACTTTCAATTTTTATTTAACGATACACATTAATGATATCGGGTAGAAAATTGTGGTAAAATTTCCCGAGAAAATACCTGCAAATTTTAACAAAGTCAATGATAAAAAGAAACACAATGGGTTGTTTGGAATGGACCCTTTGCCACTGTTCATAATTATCTTGCTACACTTTGCTATTTCTTGACATTCGAATGCATCCAAAAATTTAGTGTCATGTACCGATCTCATCAATTTCAGACAGTTTTCATTTATTCCGTGGACGTTCTCCAAGGTGTGTTGAACGATACTAGATTTTTAGGATCAACTTTAATTTTTTTTTGGTGGATGCTGATTATGATTTTGAGACAGAAGAGTTGTCTCGGGTCGGAAAGTTGACTTTCCCTATACAGTGCGTCTCTTGTAAAGTGACAATATTATTTAAGTAACAGTCATTTATAACTCCCCAACCTAGTATACCGTACGAAATTTGAGACTGTATCAGAAAAAATAAACGGTTTTCAAATGAGCTATGTCCAGTATTTCTCTCAAGAATTTGAAACGTGAAAGGAAACCTCTCACCTTGTTACAAATATGTTTTGCTTGTAAGTCCCATCTTAGGTGCCCATCAATAAGTATTCCTAGATATTTTACCGATTTCTCTTCAAGTATTATGGTTTCCTGATCGACAACAAGATCACCAATGTTTCGTAAGTTTTTCGCGTATGAAGTGAACAAAAGGTATTTTGTCTTTTCTATATTAAGGGTTACTTCGTTGTATTTGAACCATTCCTTGATTTTTTTTGAGATCCAGTTCTACTTCATTTTTGAGGGTCTTCCAGTTTTCAGATTGATGAAATATTGCGGTGTTATCAGCGAAACTAAGGACATATCCTTCTATATTCATTGATAATAAGCTACTGATGTAAAGCGTTAATAGTAGTGTCCTAAGAACAGTTCCTTGTGGCACACCATATGTGATATTTCTTATTTCGTTGATGGTTCCATCTATACAGACTTGTTGTTGACGGTTTGAGAGATAGCTCATCAATAGGGTGTATGCGTTTCCCGTAATCTCATATATTTACAATTTTTTCAACAATTTTTGATGGCAAAGGCTTTAGAGAGGTTCCGTTTTCTGTTAATTTTATCCGACTTTGAAATTTGGTTCAGTTGAAAAGTTAGAAGCCGGGGTTTGTTTACATCCGCATTGTACGTAGTAACAAATTGAGTACAAACGTTGCTCTCATGAACCGGCTCAGTATCATTTCTGAGATCTAGGACACCACTCAATTTGGGATTGTCTGAATAAAAGACTATTCGGCTCTGGTGTCACCTACTAAACGTAAACGGTGAGTACTCGAATTCATATAGAAAACCATTGATTTCCTCTTGTGGATACCTAGTCTTTGAGGATCTGAAAAGATATAAACATAAACCATCAACAATTTTTTCAAAATGAATTTAGTTCAGTATTACTCTTTATTTATTACACGGTCAAATGTCTCAAAGAAATCAAGAGTAACAGAAATAAAACATTCTCTATTCTAATACATATTCTTTTATGAGTGATTTAATTAGAACTCGTAACAAAAAAACACATATAGCGTGTCTAAAGTTCGGGGAGAGTTTCGTGATACCTTGTCCCGAGGTTGGGGACGATCCACGTGTACGAGCCATATTTCTCCCACACTACTCAAACCGAGAGAGTTTTTCATAACAGCGAGATATAGCCACATTAAGGGCCTATTGTGTTAGTTATTTAATGCGAACTGGTTAACAGGATTTCTGCCTTTGCGAGAAAGACGTTCAGAGGCGTCGGAGATGAAAAATTTCATTTTCGAGTATTTGGTATTTACTTAATATCAAAGTACTATTTCAATGCTCCATGTGCTTTTTGAGTTGCGGTTCAGTATTAGACATGCCTATTTCAAGGTAAAACACGTGTTGAACTTTTTTAAGATAAATGGTGAATAAATTCCAATGAAATTTTATTAGAAATATATTTATTTCAAAATTTTATCGAGTATCTGTCAATTTCATCGTATTAAGAGTACTATTTATTTAT